TTCTGACCAAGAAGATATAGACAAAATACCAAGGGAACTTCTGGGAAAGCTTTGCTTTCCTGATAAAAGGGAGAGATGGCACATAATTCCTTCCTTCTTCCTCCTTCCTAGAATGTGGATGTAATACCCTGGAGCTGGGGTACCCATCATGTGACCATGAGGGAATATCCAAGAGAATTACAGAGACAGTAGCCCTGAAATTGTTAAGCTGCTGAATTATTGCCAGCAGCTGCCTACCTCCAGACTTCTTGTTATGTGAGAAAAAATACACCTCCATTTAAGCCACTGTAAGTTGGCTTTTCTTGTGGCTGAACACTTTCCTAATATATGGGGTATATTTTTTATTTCATTTTTATCAAAAAATACATGTATGTAACTTAAAACTTTAAAAAAAGTCTAAACTGTTCTTGTGTTAGGAATCTCCATATTTCTAAGTAAAAGATGATACTATATCTTGATTTATTGATTTTACCATTATCTATGGATTTTCTATTATAATAGATAAGGGTTTAATTCTTTTACACCTCTCCCCATTATGTCCCCTCTCCTATTATACTACTTTTCTGTTAATTAACTGTTTGGGGTCAAATCAGCATCTACGCTTACATTATTATGAATATGTTCATATTATTCACAGCTGAGTCAAATTATATACTGTAACTATGTTTCCTTTCTCATACAAATACTTATTTTTCTCAAAATTAATACTTGCCTAGTGTTTTTCTTTATTTAATTTTCTATGTAAAATTTAAATCTCCCCCAAATACGTTAAAACTGTAGAAGATCTAGTGGATCCATTTTCCTTTTTTCTTGGAGACATCCTCCCTGGAACCCTCTATCCTCCCGTTGGGTTTTGTACTGGTTTCTCTCAAGACCTGCTGCACAACCTATATCTTGGACTTTTTTTTTTTAACACCATTCTCAGAATTTCCTTTGCCTCTCTTCTCTATTGGATCCTTTATTTCTTGGATCCTATGCTTTTTTCTTTGATCATTGGTTTCCCTCACGTTGGTGGAGCATATCCTTCAATAGCTTCTTGAGGATGCATGGGAAATAACTTTCCTAAGCCTTGGTTGATAGTTTGGCTAGGTTTAGAAATTTTGTACCGTCAGATATTTTAAAACTATTATTCCCTTGTCTTTTAGCTTCCATTATTATCATTGAGTAGTCGTATGCTATTCTGGTTCCTAGTCCTTTGTATTTGGATCATCTTTTTCTCTTTGGAAGCTTTTGGAATCTTTGTCATCTGTGATATTCCAGAAATTCATAGTGATATGAAATCTTGGTGTGTGTCTTTGTTCTTTCATTATATGAAGCTGTATTTGGGCCCTTTCAATCTTTAAACTCATATCTTTCAGTTCTGGCTCAGAATGGCACTCCACCCTCTCCCTTAGCTGTTCTAGAAATCTGATAGTATATAATTTCTAAGCCTAGCCAAACTGTCAACCAACCAGCGTCTTTTGATTTACTCTTACAAAAAAAAAAAAATAAACTTTTGGCATTCTTCCCAGCTGTCTGGGTCAAGTGGGAGTCTTATGCAAGCTTTATACTAATCTATTTCCAATCCTAATTGTACCCGCCAACTGTAAAGGTTATGATACCTCTAACTCCTCAGCCTTTCAGGGTTTTAGTTTGAGTAGGAAAACTGCTTTTATAGCTAGACCCCAAAATATATAATAGCTCAAACGTAATCGTTTATTTTTTTTCTTAAGTAACAGTAGTAGTGTAAATGTCAGCAAGACAGCCCTCTTCCATGTAGTCATTTAGGGATCCAGGCTGACAGTGGATCTTCTGACAGTGGCTCTGAGTGACGTCCGCGAAGGTTACCCTAAGAGTCATCTCCATTCCAGCCAGAGGAGGAAAAGAATATGGAGAAGTGTGCACGGGAGTTTTTTATGGGCCAGGTCTAGAAGTGGTGCATGTCGCTTCTAGTCACATTCTGTTTGCTAGAGCTCAGTCATATGGCCATGCCTAACTGCAAGGAAGGCTGGGAAACATAATCTAGGTGTCTGCCCAGAAAGAAGAGAAGAACATGGATTTTGATGAGCAACTCACAGTCTCTGCCACTCCAACATTCTGTGAAGTGGAACGGTCTAGGTCAGTTACCACTTTTCTGTCTGCTTTTCAGATTCCAAAATTTTGTCAACATCTCTCTTTTTGTTGTTGTTGTTTCTTTTACTGCTCTCTTTGTTCTTGTAGATTTAGGCCTTTCTTTTTCCTTGACTATCATTTTAGTGAAATTTTGGTTTGGAGCAGAGGTGAATGTACAGTTACGCTGTCAGTTGAAACATAAACATAATAAAATGACCACAGAAAAACATCTCTGAGGTTCATATGGGGTTATTGGCTGTGAATTTTCAACATCTGAACTATAGTATGAATACTTTTAGTTATAAAAATGAATGAAGAGAATTATATGTACTGACATAGAAAAATGCTTTTCATATATTAAACAAAAGTAGAGGCGGCCCGGGTTCGGATCCCGGGCGCGCACGGATGCACCACTTCTCTGGCCATGCTGAGGCCGCGTCCCACATACAGCAACTAGAAGGATGTGAAGCTATGACATACAACTATCTACTGGGGCTTTGGGGGAAAAAATAAATAAATAAATAAAATTATTAAAAAAAATAAAATAAACAAAAGTAGAAAATTTTAGAACTGTTATAGTATGATCTTAATTTTGTATATGTTTGTAAATGTATTAAAACTTTTTGGAAGGGTATACTTCTAAATTTAATGGTTGTTATTTGTCCAAAGTGGAACTGGGCAGGGGTTGAGAGGTTGGGGAGACTTTCCCTTTTAATTTTATATAATTCATTGATATTTGAATATTTTACATTGAGCATGTACTTTGTTGTTTGGTTACTAAAGAGAAGAACAAATAAAGGAATAGTCAGCAGGGCCCAATGCCCTAGAGAAGTCAAGTAAAATGAAGGCTGAAAAATATCTATCAAATTTGGAAATTAGGAGATCATTATTGGTGTTGTGGGATCAAAAGTAATCTCAGTGAAGATAATATAGCATATTAGGAAATAGACATAGTGATTTTGGCTTTTTTTAAAAAGACCATTCAAGACAAGGGTGTGATTGGAGGAGGATGTATAGGGTTGAGGAGACAGGGTCTGAGGTTATGTGGAGGAGTTTTCTCCCCAATATATGAGAACTTTGAGTATGTTTTACTCAAGGAAGGGAGGAAAATTCAGAAGAGAGATGACTTCCGAGAAAATGATTTCAAAACTTTCCTCATTTGCCTCATCTGTCCAGTGATGACTAGACTCCTCTGCAAGATTAAGAGTAACCAGGTAAAGTGATATTCAGCAAGATCAATGTGGAAGGAAAGCCCCAAACTTTTGGTGAGGAGGGCTTTGATTAGATGGTCTTTGAAGTCCCTTCCAATCTTCGTTCTACAAATCCAACTTATCTGAGTTGGTCCTGCTAAGCATGGACTTGATAGAAACAAACACTCTGCTTTAGTGTGACTTGAATGTGACTAAGAATCCAGGCTTATTAGTGAGAGACATAAGAATGAATAATTTCTGTTTATTTTGAGGAGCAAAGCATTCTCCCAGTGTCACATCAGGAAATCTAACAAGAGTTAGCACTTCCTCTAGCTCCTTATCAAGTTAAGAAGCTCCCATTTTCTTTTAAGTGCCTCTCTCTCTCCTTTTCCCAAGGATACTAATTTAGAATCTGCTTTGCTAAGACTCAGTGTATTTTGGGAATCCATTGCTTTGGCTCACCAGGGTTAGAGTGAGTCATGGCTCTGGCTCCATTCTTCCTCAGAAATCTGTAAGGTGGCAGATAATGAAGACCTTCTTCAGTTCTACCCCCTTCCCTGGGAAGGTTCTAGGCTCTGGGCTTCTACGAGTGACTCTCTTCCCCCTAGAATTGGAGGGCCATCTGGTATGTGTTACATAGAAACTTGGGGTTAGACTCTACCTTTGAGGGATGTTAAATGTTATTGTAAAGTGAGAATAATATGCTCATGTATAGAAATTTCTCATGTCAAATGACTTCTTGCCAAGAAGTAGCTTATACTTTCTGGAGGCCACCGTGGGTTGAAACAGTAGAGCATGGATATATCTGTCCCAGGAACTCTTCTAAGCTCTGTGCAAGAGCAGACTTGAATTCATATTCCTCATTCTGCTTCCTAACATTAGATATCCTGGCACAGATACCATCTAATTATCCTGGCACAGATAAGGTCTAATTAAATCCCTTGCTTCTTGGTCAGTCTGTGCCCCTTTTATATTCCTACTTTTTGGCCCATTGAAGAGAGGGGGAATGGATGACAAGCATATAGCAAGAGTTGCTTTACACTCCTTGAGGTCTGGAGGATGTCAGTAAGGATGATTCCTGTGGGTTCTGCCAGGTTCCAAAGTGTTTCTCTGAGAGGTTTGTTCAGCTGGTATGAATTCCTGTCTTCCCACTCCATCTACCCCATGGGTGACTCAGCCCACAGGAGAGCCAGGCCACAAAAGCATATGCAGACGGGGTCCAAAAGATAAGACTGGAAGGGAGTGAGACTTGAAATAGAAGTAGGCAGAGCTTCTGACAACCAGTGCTGGGTAGATTTCTTCAGCCTGAGAGAATGAGCTGCCCCTTCTGTAAGTCACCTGGGAAGATACACTATTCCACATAGACTAAGGCAACTTTTCTCCTGAAATGCTCTTGTAAGGGGAGGGAAGGCAGCAGGCCCAGGTGGTCCAAAAAACAAGGGTCCCTCAGTTCTCTTTAGCCATAGAATATTCATTGGCCGTATCCACATTTCCCAGTGTCCCATCTTGCTCTTTCATTCATTCAGGGTGGCCTTCTGCAAATTGGTTTATAGTACCTGCTCTGACAATACCAGTGAAGTCCCTACTTGAAGGAAGAATAAATAAAAAGCAAAGGTAGAGCTCAGTTAGGCTCCTTCATTATTTCTGTGCACCTGGGGGACAATGGGAGAAGAGGGAAATGACCTGTCACTAAGAAGCTTTTGCTTTTTATTCCTCAAGCAACCTCATAACATTCTGCAGAGGCGCCTCATGGAAACCAACCTGTCTAAGCTCCGAAGCAGTCGTATCCCTTGGGCCTCCAAGACCAACAAACTCAATCAGGCTAAGTCTGAGGGACTAAAGAAGTCTGAGGATGAGGACATGATTTTGGTTTCTTGCCAGGTAATATTCTGAGAACAGCTTTTCCAGGGTTTTCTGGAGAGTAGGATTTGGGTCCATTATGATCCCAATAGTGGGGCCCTCTCCTCCAAAATGTATAGAGTGTGGGTCTTATCATGGAATTCATAAATGAGTTTTAAGGGGGGCACCACATGCAGCACAGGAAGTGTATGCAATATTTTGATGCATGTGCGTCTTTATGGGAAAAAGGACCAAAGCTTTCATCAGATTTGCAAAGTGGTATGTCATACACATACACACACATACAAAATTAAGAGCTACTCGGTATATAGAATGAAACACCCGAAGTCCTTTGGAATCCTCTGTCAGCTCTAGATTCAGCAAGGAAAAGAACCCCTCAAAGGAGACTCAGCAGTGAGTAAAGATGGGACACTAGCAACCCATAATTGTGAGGATGCTCTCCAAGCCTGCCTTTCATATGACAGCTGCTTGCTCTCTGGATGTCCCTTCCCTTTTGCTTCTCTGGCTCCTGTTGAACAATATGTTTCCTCTCCTCAGTGTGCTGGAAAGGATGTGAAAGCCTTGGTTGACACAGGCTGTCAATATAATCTCATCTCTTCAGCCTGTGTGGATAGACTGGGGTAAGTAGCCACTTGTGCTGGGTGGAAGTCAGATGCTAATGCACTCTTTTCCTGAATCTATTTTGAAGTCAGAGATGGTGAGGGCCTCCACAGAGGCTCCAGGAGAAGTGTGCAGGGCTCGAATATCAGCTGGAACCAGTCCTTATTAAAGGGGCAGAGTGGTGGGGTCTCCAGCACCTGGGAGAAATCAGTGAGCCAGGAAAGCCTCAGGCTTTCCGTTAACTCCCACCTATTAAGTTTTGAACAAAGACCTTTCGGCTCTGGAATGAGAGTGTGAGATCCTTGGCTCATTGAGTGCCATGCCCAGACAACAAATTAGAAGGAGCTGTCCTGTTGGTATACCCCGGTTGAGCAAAAGCAGGGATGTGGTTGGCCTTAGCTTACTCAGGGTCTTTCTGGAGGCCACACTGCCTATCCAAGAAGCATCAGTCAGAACTTGGAATAGTGCTGCTGTTGTTGCTGGGCCTGAACCATCATGGGGTGACTAACAGTAGTTTCATAGTGCCGTTCCTCTCTGTGAAGAACATGTAAATCAGATCTTACTGCTGCCCCTGCTGGGGATTTGGTGTGAGGCAGACACCTCGTATATTGAATGTCTTCAGTTCTCTAACAGCTGGAATTGGGTTCTGCCCCTGGGTTCTCTGTTAGAGAAAGCCATTTTGTATCTTTCCTCCCTTTCACTCAATCTGTACTTTTATTTCTTTCCTTCTTTCTTTCCTTTCCTCAAAGTACCAGATGGGCCCTGAGGTCTAGCCCAGAATTGGGAGGATCAACCCAGTATCCCTTTCCACTTTTCTATCCCTGAGTACAACAAATCATTCCCCAGCCCAAGTCTCTGTATTGAAACAATCACTAGGGTAGATGTAATGGCCCATTTTAAGCTACTTTCAAGATGTCCATATTCTTAAGTAGGGCTTGCACAAGGCTTGATTTCTATAATCAGTGACCTCTGCCACATGATATGTTCCTTCTCGTTTCTACCCTGTCCTCACCCCTCACCACCACTGTGACTCCTTGAAGCTGGCCCTGTGGGTTTTGTCTATTGCTATTTAGGGTGCTGGGGGTAGTCTAGGACACAAGTACTCTTGTGGGAAGAATCCTGAGCTTTATTATGTGGTGAAGAGAGGCGATATAGTGCACCATGATGGTTCCAGAAAGACTACTAACATCCTGGTGCATCATTAGGCAGCAGACTGCCATGATTCCAGAGGAATTAATAACCATCTGTAAAACTGCAATTATTTTTCTTTTGGATGGTCTGTGACACCAAAAGAGAGGAAATGGAGTAAAGCAGAAGTATTGGCACAGAAAGTACGTAATTAAGTATTTATCCACCAACCCATAATAGCTCAGGTGTTAGCTGTTCCAGTCAGCTTACATAACTGTGTGAAACCTTGGTGCTGTTCCTTTCCTCCCTCCCCTGCACAGACAAGTTAAATTAATTAGGACTTTCTCCCCGATGTTCCTTGCTGATACCAATATGAACGCACTTATCAAATAAGTACCTGTGTCCGCTAACCTTATAGCCGAAGACTAACTGATGAGGATAGACTGAAATCGAAAAGACAAAGAGAAAATTAGACGTTGAACAAAGCATCTTCTAAAATTAGGATTAACCTACCCTCTTTGATATCTATTACCCACAGATGGGTAAAAGGACATGTAAACTAAACTGCCTTGCACATAGGTGGGGGTGTTACAATGCAAAATAGGATACTCTGAGTGTGTCAACTCTCATCTTTCACCAGTGCAGGTAGTGACATAGCTTTTTGAGACCAGGAGCTGAATCTTTAGTTTTTCATATCCCCTGGCATGTTGAGGAAAAAGTGCTGAAACAAGAAGTGTAGGCTGGCTAGCACTTTTTTGGTAAATTAATCCCTGGAAAATTCCAACTGTGGGTCAGAAGGTAGCATTGCCACATTCCACCAGAAACCTCTGCCAAGGAGATTCTGGTATCTTCCTCTCTGGTACAGACTCAAGGAGCATGTTAAATCTCACAAGCATGAAGGAGAGAAGCTTTCTCTACCCCGGCATCTGAAAGTCGTGGGCCAGATTGAGCACCTGGTGATCACACTGGGCTCCCTCCGCCTGGACTGCCCAGCAGCTGTGGTTGGTGAGTAGAATTGAGGACTGGAGTTATGGACCTCTAATGTAAACCCTCTCCCTACATCCACCAAACCCTCATGAGATCTCATGCTTGTAAATATTGACTTCTTTAAAATCCCAGGTTTCCACTTTTCTGTGCTTTAGACCTTGTCCCAATTTTTGTCCTCCAAAGTACCAGATGGGCCCTGAGCTACATTCAAGACATGTTGAGAATCACACAGAAAAAAAGAGTGTGATTGAAAAAAAAAGGGGGGGGGGCAATAAAACAAACATTTTTGTTTGCCAGTGAAAATGGCCCCTGAGAGCTTTCCATGAACTAGTTGGAGGTAGAGGGCAAGATCCTCTTACTCCTTTGCCATAAATCCCTTCATAATTTGCCACCATCTCCTATATTTTCCCTCATGTACTCTATTCTAGACTACTCTAAGTTCCTGGTTTTTGTCTAAAGACCCTTGTCCTTTAGAGTTAAAAAGACCTGGGTTTGAATCTTGGCTCTGTTGCCTTTTAACTATAATGATCTTGGAAAATTAGTTAATATAATAGATGCTCAACAGATGTTTATTGGATGGATGGATGGAAGGAAGGAAGGTTGAATGGATCCTAATGGCGGTAAGGCTGACTTCTAAACCAGCATGGAAATGGCTAAATCTTAATTTTTTTTTATCTTATTAGAGGACAATGAGAAAAACTTGTCCCTTGGTCTCCAGACTCTCCGATCCCTGAAGGTAGGATTGATTCTATTTTCCCTTTGCTACTTCCTCTCTGAGGCAGGGCTCCTCTTACTTGGAGACCTCATAGTGGGATCATTGACAGTGACCAGTGCTTCTCCTTTGTTTTCAGTGCATCATAAACTTGGATAAGCACCGGCTGATCATGGGGAAGACAGACAAGGAAGAAATCCCTTTTGTGGAGACAATGTCCTTGAATGAAGACAAGTGAGTGCCCAAATGGGTCAGGTCGAGTCAAATCCATTTGTCATTAACTGCAGAGGTTCTCACACAGGATATTGGGCTGTGTCTTGCCTTTGGCCTTCAATCATACCACAAGTACCCACCTCCCCAGCCCCAGACTTCGCCATCCCACAAAACTCTCTAGCACACATTTCAGAATGAGCAGTGATGATACTGCACAGAGTAGTGGGGAAAATGAGTAGCTTTTAAACTAAAATTGTACTTGCCTTCAGCCTAACTACTTTGAATTTGGTATAATTTCTTCTATTTCTTTCTCATTTCAGCACTTCAGAAGCATAACTTCTGCACACACACCGGGTTGACAGATTGAGAAAACTGGGTTTGAACCAAATGCAGTAGCAACTTGCTGTGGACCAAGTCCTTCCCTTTAATAGAAGCTCCAGGGGCTCCTTCCCACCCAGACCTCTCTAGACTTTAGTCTGTGCTTAGAGATTTTATCTGGTTATAGCCATTGTTTTTTACTCCTTCAATCACTTAATTTATAGACCTTTTTGACACTGCCAGGTCTCACTAATGGCCTATTTCTCTGCTTCTTCCAGGAATTTGCTTTTATTAGTCAAGTTTAGGGGCTGCCAGGTTCTATTTCTTCCTAGATACACTTGCTTCTTTTCCTATAGCTAAAATGTATAATAAACAAGAACCCGACCTTTACCTTCCTTCAGCTGTTTCAAAGGGGTGCGGGATACCCATGTCTCAGAATTAGAGTTTCTTCTAATTCATTCATTGATTTATCAAGTATGAATTGATCTGAAAGAACCCAGAGAGATTATCTAGTCCAGCCCTTTCATTTAAATGTCCAGAGAGGCAAGTGAATTGCATAAGCTTCTATACTAAGTCAGAGGAAAAAGAGACCCAGAACTCAGACCTGACAAGCCAAGGCTATGTTCATTCTCTCCTGGTGCTTCATTTGTCTTCAAGCCATTAAAGGAGGACAAAGAGGGGAGGGTTTGTGAAAACACAGGGTAGGGGAAGAATATGCTTTGGGGATGGATGCTAGGAGGATCTGAGTAGCCCTGTTTCCTGTTTGCTAAGCCCACTAAAAGTCCCCTGCCTCAAATTGTCACATTTAGGCCCTTTCTCGGTGCCTTGAAGCCGAGAGTGCAAAGATGAGTGAGTTGGTTTCTCACCTTAAACTTCTTGGAGGTGAGGAGGGGGAAGGAACCACAGACAGAAGAACATTAATCACTCTCTGAGATGGAAGTAAAGGTTTCAGTGAGTAATCTGGGCATCATTGTCAGACATTGATACCCCCAAGATCCAGTCAGTATTTCTGCCTATCTTGTTTGTCTGCCACAGATTCAAGTAGCTGGGAACAGGAGTAAGGAAAGGAGTTGAAAAAACCCAGAGCAGGTCCAGAATAAAAGGGAGTCCTGGGTAGAATCAGTTGGTGGGAAGGCGTACCTAGGGAAGCCTTTCTGGGATGGAGGTCAGGAATGAAACTTGCAGACAGGAAACTGAGGGTTGGGAAACTCTTCAGTTCTGTACTTGTGCAAGGAAAGAGGCAGGGCAGGAGCTGGCAGTGTTAAAGATGACTTTTTCTGACTGCCCAGGATTTCCTGACCCATCTCAAAGGGTTGGAGGTCACAGGAGTTTCTTGAATTGGGGTGTCAGTTTGGGCCGATACCTGTAATGGAATCTCCCCTTCAATTTGGCCTTAGAAGTCAGAAAAATAGCCAGCTGTGGGTATCCCTTTAAGAGATTCCCAGGTCCACCCTTGGTTCATAGCAGTAGTTCCCAGAGTATTTAATGGATCCCACTTTGAATTTTGTCAGGTCCCACCAACAATCTCATCGAGTGTTCAGCTACTGTCCCTACCATACAACTCTTTGGAACTCTGAATGTTTTTAGCCTTACAGAAGCTCCCTAAAGACTAGGAACTTGGTGACCCCCATTTGAACAGCTAGGCAGCCACGCTGCAGCCAGTTGTCACTGGGTCATCCCCAGGCCCCCTTCTTGTCAACCTCTATAGAGGAAGCAAGATGGAAAACTAAGCACAGCCACAGTGTGGGGAGGCCACATCTGAAGCTCAGCAGGCCTGATCCCAGGTTACCAGCCTTCAGTGCCCCCTCCAACTTCACCCCATTTTCTTACCCAGGGGGGACCTGCACCTTTCCATTGAGGCCTTTCCACTTTCCTCCCCTACCTATCATAGCACCACTTTGGCCTGCTTCTTATCCTAGGACTGAGTTGAAATACTTCACAGCTTCCTTCCCTAGTTGAAAGTTCCACGCCAAGCCTTGACTCTTGGCCACAAGGGAAGTGTGTTGGAAGTTCCTTGGCTTGGTTTATCCTTATTTGGATTCCCTGTGGACCAAGTGAGGCCAGGAATTCTCAGGTGCTAGAAAGATACGACTGATTCTGGCCCTTTGAGTTCAGGATTATATGGCATCAAGAGAATGATCAGATGGCCTTTAGTGATCTTTCTGGCCTCTGAGAATCAGTAAATTTCTAATTTTGGAATAGAAACAATTGGGGCGATCTGAGCTTAAGGCATCACAATTTCACTAAATGTAGTCAAATCATTTGAATTCACTAACCAAATAATTGTGCGTTAAACCTCAGGCTTGATAGAGGTACCTAAAAATGTCTGAAGACAATTATGGGAAGTCTTGAGCTTCATTAATCTTTAAATACTGCCAAGTTGATTACTCTGATAGCCCCTATCTCCTTGATATTCATGAGGGAGCACTGGGTCTACTTTTCCGGGGCTGGCAAGGTAAACAGGTAAGGTCAGTTCTTCCCAGAATCCAAGAAAATTCTCTCTGGCACCTCTGATTGAGGTGGGAAGAGAGTGTCTACCCAGGTCACAGTTCCAAGGACAGGCAGTAGCAAGAAGTAAACCTGTAGAACTGGTACCTCTTTCATTCCTTATTAGATGTCCATCTCAAATACAGGGAGTTTGAAAAATATTGTTTTCGTCAATTGGTATTTCTATGCGTGACTTATTTGAGGAACAAGTGTTTTCTGACTTTTCTATTTCCTTGCCCTGCACAGACTCCACTTGGTAAGATTTTCTATTCTTTAGTTCCAAGTGTCTATAGAATGGATTGCTTGGTATGTCAGAGGCCCTCACTCTTGTATATTAGAAGTATCTTTCCAGGCTGGGGACATGGAGGAGGTGAACTGGATTCCTCCCTCCTTCTGTTGCCAGGCCTCTGCATTGGCACTTTATCTGCTCAGTGTTTCTGGCTGTGTTGGGTTTATTTGTGAGATTGATGTAACAATAAAGTGAAATCTTCCCCTCTGTGTGCTTGTCTGACGAAGTCTCTGTGTCAGGGCCCCTGGAAGGTGGGGGAGCCCAGGCACAGTCTAATTGTATCAGTGTTTCTCTCATGGAGTCTTCTGAACACAAGGCTTTATGCTCCTCATTTCCTGCATTGCTACTAGCCCTTCAGCTCCCTCTCACTGCCTGTATGTCCTTGGGCAAATTAGTGAGCCTCTCTGAGCGTGGTTTTGTAATGTAAAACAGAAGTGATAATAGTACTTACTTCACAGTATCAAACGAGATAATCCATGTAAAGTGGTTGGCATATAACTGTATATGAGAACAATGTTTTATGGAGAACAGTGTGTGAGAGAACACTTACTTCTAGAAAAGGAAATATTTATTTGGTTCAAACAAATAGGAGAGGTTTGGGAAGAGGAAGGGTTGACTGAACCTTAATATATAGTTAAAGCCGTTGTTTAAATGAAATTCCAACTAAATGCATTTTACAGATGGTAGAAACTTACCTTTTAAGTGTTAATATTTTTAATATTTAAACGGTATGGTTAAATAGTCAACAGAAAACATTCTTTAACTATGACAGTGGTTATCACAATATAGAATTTTGGTTCTACTTCTGTTATGAGAGGTTTGGGGGATTTGATCGGAGACATAAAAGGAACTTTTCACTCCAAACAAATGGACTGAAGGTATATTTTATTATATAGAGGAGAGTAAAGGCGATAGTCTGCAAACAGACCTGAATAGGTCAAATATTAAGAGGAAAAAACATCAGCCCGACTGAGGGAGAGGGAAACATCCACATCGACTGAGATAGCAGCAGATTTGAATAGATCATATAATGAGAGGGAAAAACATCAGATCGACTGGAAAGGGAAACATCCACATCGACTGAAGGGAAATGACATAAATCAACCGGAAGGAGAAACACCAGGTTGACCGAAAAGAGAACATATCAAGTTACTTATTTATAACAAATCAATTACTTTACAACAAATCAATTACTCACAACATCCACGCCTCGCTGCTGGGAGAGTCCTGTCAATCCACACGGCTGGGCGGGAATCACACGTCCTGGGCAAGGCGTCCCTTCCACAGGTGGAACTCTCACCAGGCCTCGGTTTTCAGCAGTTTATATAAGCAGTTACAGAGTTTACAGAGCAAGCGTTCAATGTTTTTATGCACAAATGGTTATCAGTGGCATACGTGTACCGAGCCTTCTGGCTATCATCCCAGCCCGGCACTTGTGTATGTGCATTGTTTTCCCTGGTTATCGTCCCCGGCAAAGATGGCCAATCTGCCCCAGGCTGCGGTGCCCAAGGGGACTTGAAATTTTTACACATTGCAACTGTCTCCATGGGAGAAGGGCCAGTTCCCAGCACGCAGAAAGAAGCTTTTATATTTCTTTGTGTGCTGGTGGCTGTAGGTCAATGGAGTGGCCAAACATGGCTGTACTCACGTCAAGACAACTTCTACTTAGGTGATACTACCATTCCACCTCAGAAGGTTTTCTCTTATTTTTGTCCATTTATTCTAAATATAAAAAAGTAAAAAGATGTACCCAAACTGTTAAGCAATGAGTGACAGAATCAAGATTCATAATCATCTTAATAGAATGAAACCAACAAAATTAAGTTTTAAAAGAGTTAAAAAAAAATACATTCTGCTGATCAAAAAATGGGCGGAGGAAATGAACAGACACTTCTCCAAAGAAGATATACAGATGGCCAATAGGCACATGAAAAGATGTTCAACATACTTAATCATCAGGGAAATGCAAATCAAAACAACACTAAGATATCACCTCACGCCCGTTAGAATGGCTATAATCACCAAGACAAAAAACGACAAATGTTGGAGAGGATGTGGAGAAACAGGAACCCTCATACACAGCTGGTCGGAATGCAAACTGGTGCAGCCTCTATGGAAAACGGTATGGAGATTCCTCAAAGAATTAAAAATAGAGATGCCCTATGATCCAGCCATCCCACTACTGGGAATCTATCCAACGAACCTGAAATCAACAATCCAAAGAGGCTTATGCACCCGTATGTTCATTGCAGCATTATTCCCTATAGCCAAGAAGTGGAAGCAACCTAAGTGTCCCTCGACTGACAATTGGATCAAGAAAATGTGGTATATATGTACAATGGAATACTACTCAGCCATAAAAAAAGACAAAATCATCCCATTTGCAACAACATGGATGGGCCTGGAGGGTATTATGTTAAGTGAAGTAAGCCAGAAAGAGAAAGACAAACACTGTATGATCTCACTCATATGTGCAATATAAACCAACACATGGACAGAGAAAACTATTGTGGTTACCAGGGGCAACGGGGGTAGGGGGTGGGCACAAGGGCTGAAGGGAGACATATATATGGTGATGGACAAATAAAAATGTACAACCCAAAATGTCACAATGTTAAAAACTATTAAAACATCAATAAAAAAAAGTATCATTAAAGCTATATGAGCACACAGTTAAAAAAAATACATTCTGACTTTATTTTTCAAAAATCTATTACACTTACACAGTAGGGGAGAACTTGGATTAACAGAAGTTCATGTGAAGATGATGTTGGTGTTTTAGTTGATTACATATTCTATATTTAGAAGCATTAAGGACTCTGTGTGTGGATGTCATTTTATTTTTTTTGGTGAGGAAGATTAGCCCTGAGCTAACATCTGTTGCCAATCCTCCTCTTTTTTGCTGAGGAAGATTGGCCCTGTGCTAACACCCATGCCCATCTTCCTCTACTTTATATGTGGCACACCTGCCACAGCATGGCTTGATAAGCTGTGCATAGGTCTGTGCCTGGGATCCAAACCTGTGAACCCCGGGCTGCTGAAGCAGAGCATGCAAACTTAACCACTATGCCACCTGGCCAGCCCCAGGAGATGTCATTTTTAAAACGGATGTGTATACAATTTGTGGAGGATCCAGAAAAGGGCAGTGGCAACATGATTATTGTCTTCAGAGCTGTCATGTGGAAAGTGTTCTTTCTGGTACCAGAAGGCAAGCATTTCCAATAAGTGGAGGTTACAGAGAGGGAATCATCTACTGTTGGAGGGAAGCATACTATAAATCAGGGACTGTGCTAACTCCTGCAAAGCAGGTAGTAATATTCACAATTATGCAGAAGGAAAAGCTAAGGCTCAGAGTAGTATCATGATACAACTATTTAGCACAATTAAATGGATGGTCTCTGAATTCTCTTTCACTGGGAGCAAAAGATGGGATGATCATTTTCTAGCAATATTATGAAAGAGATTTCTGCATTGGGTAGGAGGTTGCATAAGGAGACCTCCAAAGTCATTTCTAATGCCAAAATTCTTTGATTCCAGGACATCTTTATTAAATGGTTTTATGAATCATTGTAGTTTCTTGTTGACTCATTGCCATCACACTACATAGACTTAGTAATTTGGACTGAAATTGTGAAATCAGAAAATATTATATCAGCATATGTCACATAAAAAGGAAATTATTTTGTGAAACTTTGGTTTCATACATATACACACATACACCCACATATACATATCATGTACTGGGTCAATCCCATAAAATGGGAAATAGTGACTTACCTAAGGTGATGTGGATGTATTGAGGGGTGGAGGAGGGAGAAATAATACATGTGTTTATGAGGGGACATTAGAGTATAAATACAGTTTATTTCCTATAGCAAGAAGTAAAATAACAGACCAAACTGAAAAATCAAGAACTAATAGTATAAGCATGTTATTAAGAAATATGGAGGGCCAGCCCCGTGGCTTAGTGGTTAAGTGCGTGTGCTCTGCTGCTGGCGGCCCGGGTTCGGATCCCGGGCGCTCACCGACACACTGCTTCTCCGGCCATGCTGAGGCCGCGTCCCACATACAGCAACTAGAAGAATGTGCAGCTATGACATACAACTATCTACTGGGGCTTTGGGGGGAAAAAATAAATAAATAAATAAAATCTTTAAAAAAAAAATATGGAGATAAATCCTGGAAGAGATAGCTAAAAGATAAGAAAGAAGTTGTCTCTGGGGAGTAGAACTTCAGCATATAGAGAGCTGGGGCAGGGTCTGCTGTGAAATACTATTTGATTTTCTTTAAATGTACTATATTGGTAAAAATAAAAATGAATACAAATAATGTAGTATGTCATTTATTTGAAAATCTTAGCAGTCAGAGAGGAGGGGCTGTTTTCCTTGAGTATTTCCTTAAGACACTAGGAAACCAACAATACTGATTTAGCACCCCTCTGAAAGAAACTTTAAAAATTCTTCCTGTTTTTGGTACTATACCTTGTGTTGCTTTGTTATTTTAGGGACTCTAGTAACTTGTCAGCAGTATGGGCGCCAGCATCTCTGGGAACAGAGAATATTCTGGCCCCATACATTATTATCATCATGGTGGGGACCAGCAAGTGATGGCATGGCATACTTCCATGGCTTTACAGGCAGCCGAGGGCAGAAAATCTCACTAAAGGGGGCCGAGTAGGAGAGAGCATCCTGGTGATGCACGCGGTAAAGGAGAAGGCTCATATAAGATATTGCCGGCTATGCTCAGAAATCACTAGAAGAACTTCCGGGGTGTGTGTGTGTGTCCTGCCATAACCACTAGAGCCACAATCCAAGGAAACCATCATCACTGATGCTGTGTGTGACTCCATTTGTTCTCCTGGACTGGCGTGGCCTGGCAAAGTGCTGAGTAGATCAGAAAGGGTCGGGCAGAGAAATAAAGGGGCATTCAGTGAGCTATTTGATCACTGGAGGGGAAAGGGGGTGAGTGGGCTGCAGACAGAGCTGGCAAAACCTTAGTCCCAGATACATAAATTGTCACTTCTGCTTCCTAACCTCCTGACTTACACACTTAAATTTAGAGAAGGCTCTTCTTACTCTCCTGACCATCCCCCACCAGGGAATTTTTCAGGCCTCACAAAGAAGTGACAGGGCCCAGTCCAGGTGGGAGGGTGCACCTGGACCTGTGTCACTCCTTAAAAGGAATGAAGTAGGGAAACCTAGTCACAGGGAA